TTTGGTTAGCGCATGTTTACTGCTTGATTGTGTAACCTCTGAAGATGCCGGTCGCAGGTGCTGGCGAAACGTTAGGAAACAAAACTTCCAGAATACAGCCACACAGCCCGGAAGACCCACACCAGCCATTGTGTAACCTTTGCTTATCTGGGTGATGATTGCTGGTGATTGATTGCTGGTGAGGCGATGTTCTGGTCTTTTGTCTCTTTTGAATAGTATGTAGATGCTGTTTATCTCTATGTGTCCGTTAATACAGGCAGTATCATGACACACACACACCCGCTATTTATTTAATTTATTTAATCAGTTTGTACAGTATAGCCACCCATCTCAACAAGTGACTCTGGGCAGGGAACAATATTATATAAACATAAAAACAATTACAACCATTAATACAAAAATTAAAATGCATAGCAGTCGAGGAAAATATCACAATCAACAATTCTGATATAGCCAGGAAACAGGTCCCTTCACACACTTGAGGTCCCTGGCCCGGGCAAACTAGTACCGTATGTAAATGTTATAAATAAATAAAATTTCCTGTAGAACTTGCATCTCTATTTTTATACAGTGGTCATTTTTGTGATTTATTTTCTAGTGATTTTCTTTGGGATTTATCTTCTCGTGTGGTGTGTGGGATTCAGCACATAGAATTTTGAAGAAGCTTGACTGTTACTGAATTCTTCACTTTCCCAAACTCTCACTTCAGGTGTATTGGGAAAATGGCGCTCAGATCACATCCCCGCATGATAAAGAGATCCTGAAATGTATTGAAGAATGTGTCGAGCCATGGAATGACTCCTGGAATGAAAATCTGGTAGACAGCAGCCCTCTCACTCGAGATCCTCTGCAAAAAATCTCTGCAAGCTACATGGAGGATCTAAAAAAGATCTGTTACCACCGGTAAGAAATCCAGCTGCACCAGGGGGAGCTCCTGTAAGCATAATTCCCACATTTTGAAGAGGAGTAGAGGAAGAGGTTTGGAACTGGGTTGAAACATAATCTGCGGAGAAGAAAGTGGAAGGAAGGTGCATTCAAAGTGCGGTCGTGGGTACGCCAGGATTGGATGTTTTAACAACAAGCAATGAATAAAATTGCTCAGGCAGTAAGAGAAACTGCCTGGCACTGAATTTCCAGTGCACTCAGCGGTGTTTCTCAACCTTGGCAACATAAAGATATGTGGACTTCAGCTCCCAGAATTCCCCAGCCAGCATGTTAGGCCTGTCCTTCCTTCTCAGATGAACATTTCTACAGGGTAGTGGTGGGGGTGGGAGTGGGGAACTGAAGGTGGGAGTAAATGTATGTTGCCTTCAGATGTAACTCAGATCAATAACAGCGTCTTGGGCTGCTAGGCCAAGAATCAATCTGGGCACGGACTGAGAATATAAAGGTCCCATTGGATCTCTTTAAGCAAGTAGCGTTAATAACCCTTTCCATCTCGCTCTTCCATAATATAACCTCCTTTGACCTGGGGAGCTGCAGATGTCTTGGAGTATAATTTGCATAGAGTGCCCTAGAGAGCCCAGGATTTGAGCAAGACTTTGGAACCTGGCTATAAATAGGTCTGCTTCTTCGGGAGAAGGAGAAGCCATTGGCAATTGAAATGGGACTAGAGCAGTGTTTCTCAACCTTGGCAACTTTAAGATGTGTGGCCCTCAACTCCTAGAATGCTGCCTGGGGCATTCTGGGAGTTGAAGTCCAGACATCTTAAAGTTGCCAAGGTTGAAAAACATTGCTCTAAGCAATAAATAATGACTAAACATCTCTGTGTGCTTCAAAACATAATTTAAAAATAGGTAGCCCATGTGAAGAAGAGGAGCAATGTTGCATTCAAATGGCTGGCCTACACTTCTGCAGCCGAGCCAGGAGGAACTCAGGTTCTCAGCTGCCCTTACGTGGGCCCCGTTTCATGCAAATTCCCCCCTCTTGATAGCAATAACTGCTCTTTAATTGTTCCTTTCTGCTGTTTCCATTACAGAGAGGTGAACACAAACACCCACTTGAAATTTGTGCATACGTCTTTTCACGGGGTGGGACACGACTATGTGCAGCTGGCTTTCCAGGCCTTTGGCTTCCAGCCCCCCATTCCAGTCCCTGAACAAAAAGATCCTGATCCAGACTTTTCCACTGTCAAATGTCCCAATCCCGAAGAAGGAGAATCAGTGTTGGTGAGTTTTGCATCAGTAGCAGTTCTGTGGGCAATAGGAAGGGTGGTCTGTGTTTTCCAAGTAGAAGTGTGATTGGCTCTTTTGAATGATTACCACAAGTGTTCTTCCAGGAACTCTCTTTGCGGCTGGCGGAGAAAGAGGGAGCCCGGGTGGTTGTGGCTACGGATCCTGATGCAGACAGGCTAGCTGTGGCAGAACAACAGGAAAAGTAAGTGGCTGGATGTTCATGTGGCTTGACCTTGGTGTAAGTCCCTCTTCTGAGCCAAGAGCATTAACCCCCTAGAGAAGCTGGCTGGGCTGCTTTCCATGAGCCCCATGTGAAAGTAATAGCGGTTATAATATTAAGAACTTTTAACAATTTTAATAGGTTAACAAATGCAGCATTTTCTAAACACCTCCTATCTTTAAAGATTTCAGATCTTAACAAAAAGAACCTTATGTAAATTTTAGGACTTTACCCAGTTCTGAATAGATGGATCTGATGCATTGCATATAGACTTGGAGAGTTTCAAAACTGGCCTGCCCCCAATATCTTTATGCAATTCTTAAAACGTTACTTAATTATAAATAGTAGAAGGTTCTCAATCTTAATTCTTCAACCAGTGCTATTCTTATGAATTAAAATGTACATGCATTTGAGTCTTCTTTTTATTTCCAGTTTGATGGGACTAATTCTGTGTGATGCCCTTGAGGAAATAACTGTGAAAACTTTACTATTTAGACCTTAGTGTATAAACTTTTTTAGATGTTTGTACACCAAGTTTTATACAGATTATGCATTATCCAGTATTTATTCCCCATTATCTGATAAATAAAAACTTTAATGGTTGCTTCATAATCTAACATTATTCAGATAAATTTTGATCCCAAACATGATTGTGAATACTGTAGGCTTGATTTAATGTGCTTTATCGAACAAACTATATAACATATACAGACGGTCCTCTAGTTACGAACAGGTTATGTGCCAAGGTGCTGTATGTAAGTCCATTTTGTTCATAAGTCCAACCAAGTATAAAAAATAAGCTTTCCAATGTGTGATGGTGTTGCCAAGTGTACATATGCAGCATGCCATAAACTAACCCTTTCCCATCTTCTCCCACCTTCTGAGACCACCTAGGTTGGAATTGTGGACAAGTTTGTATCAGCAAAGGTTTGTAAGTAGAGGACTGTCTGTAACGATTGTTCACATATCACACTTAACATATAAATCATGGTTTACAAACCACTGTGGCTGGCCTAAGACCAAAACCAAAAAAAACTGTATGACTCAGTGCAGGTAGAATCAATCCAACTGTTGTTCCAGCTCTTCTTTCTTTAAACATTTATTTATGCATTAGGTTCTGTTTCTGCACATACACATTCTTGAGTACATCTTAACTCAGACTACTCTTCTCGTTCATTTCCAATACCGGTGTGCAAGAATTGTTATGAACATGCTTTGGATCCATTTCTCCCTTCAATACAACATTGCTTGTTTTTATTTGCATCTCCAAATTCTTAGGGATCACTAGGAATTGTCAGCTGCCCTTTGTTGTGCATTAGATAGCTGTCAAGAGCCTTCCTAGCAGTTGCTATAAACTGATTTCCTAAAATTTGTCACAGAATGGCTTGTTTAACCAGATTGTGTAAAGTTTGTGCACAACATGCGAAGCCTGGTTAACTTTAGCCCTGTTTATTGTTTTGTGACATAGCATGTTATATGGAGCTAGCTCAGGTGGTTGCTTTATAAGACACTGTCTGTGGCTGCAGAAAATGGATTAATTTAATAAACTGGTTAAGCCTCTAACCTTGTCTTGTTTCTTCCTCAGTGGCCGCTGGAAAGTCTTCACGGGCAATGAGCTGGCTGCGTTGTTTGGCTGGTGGATGTTTGCTTGTTGGAAGGAGAATTGTCCAAAAGATGCTGACGTGGAGAATGTTTACATGTTGGCCACCACTGTCTCCTCCAAAATTCTGAGGGCCATTGCTCTCAAGGAAGGATTTAATTTTGAAGTAAGAGTTACCCAGTGCCTTCTCTTTTCCATGCACCAAGTGGTCTTGGGCATCCAAGATGGAGTCTTGAGGTGTTTTTAGAGGCAGAACCTGATCACTCTCGTCCTTATTGGGAGGAGTCTGAGGGCATGACTTGTTAAGAACTCCATCTCTCTAGTCAAAGAGCTTAACATAAGGAAGGTGTGCACTCATCACATAGTTAATATAATAGAGTCCTCCTTTTATGGTTGTTGTGAAATGGTAAAGATGCCCTTGAGTCGAATACAATTCCTGGGGACTCCGTGGAGACAACCATGCTTTTGCTTGGCAACTGTATGGAAATGGTTTGCCATTGCTTTTTCCCAGGGTGAATTTTCAGCTTCCCACTTTAGTTATTCCTTGCAGATGCTATGAGTGCTCTGTGGCAGTGTTTCTCAGCCTCAGCAACTTTAACATGTGGGGACTTCAACTCCCAGAGTTCCCCAGCCAGCAGCTTTTGGGGAAGAGGAAGCTCCTGTCATCCCTTCCAGAGTTACATCTCTGCAGTTGACTGATATGTTGGAGCATTGCTCTTAAGCTGGCCTGTTGTAGAATGGCACAGTCTTTTTAAGAATGGGCCATCTTGTTAGTTTACTCCACAAGTCAGAGTAGGGTATTTGTCGGTCTAACTAGGTGAGGTCCAGGGGTGCATGGGGTCTTTTAAACAATTTCTCATGCTCCTTTAAGCCTATCTACCCAAACGTGTCAGGGAGCCAAGTCTCCAGCAGGAGGAGATAACTGTCTGAAAAATGCAGGGGGGGGGGCGCGGAGAAAAAGCTAAACAAGAATTGTTTAAGCAATTTTTTTGACTAACACATTTGATTAAAAGGCAGAAGCTGTTGTGAACTACTTTTGCCCCAGTAGACTAACATGGGTTTCTCCCTGTGCTGGTTCCAAACAGAGGTTTCTTCAAGCCTCATTGCTGGTGGCGGTAAATGGTTTTTGTGCCTGGAGAATATCAGAGTGTGAGCAGGCACTGGCCACACCCAGTGTGAGCAAGCAGCTTCAGAAGTTCGGCTGCCATGGATGTGGCCCTCCAGACTCCAGTGGTTTTGTACACATGTTTGATTTTGTACACATATCTGTTTGGGAGGAGGCTTGGTTGAACTCAGTGGGATTTACTTTCAAACATGCGTGCCCCGCTGTTCAAGGTTGCATACGCTGGGAGAAGGCCTTGTGGTCTGAATCCCTTGGTGGAATTTGCTGGCAGCTTGGTGTGATCCATGAGTGCAGTCTTCTGAAGGAAGCATCTTCCTGTCTCATTTCAGGAGACCCTCCCTGGCTTCAAATGGATTGGCAGCAGGGTTAAGGATCTCCTGGACAGCGGCAAGGAAGTCCTTTTTGCTTTTGAAGAGTCCATCGGTAAGCACAGGAAGACTTGCCCAGTTGTGGAGTCCTCCTGATTCTCTACCAGAGCAAATACTTACTGGATTTCTCCCAGTAATTTTAATCCCAAACTAGAACCTTTCAGAGGTAACTCTTAATAGCGTTTCCTCCTTCACTGTGGCACAAGAAGTGGGGTCTAGTTTTAATATCCTGCACTTTTCCCAGTTTGGTAAAGGTGTGCTTTCAGAAACTCTGGCAGTAGATGTAATCCCCTGAGAAGCTCGTCCTTGTGTATTTCCATGAGATCGTTTGGGTGGGGTTGGTAGTTAAGAATCATAGAACCATAGGGTTGGAAAGGACCTTGGAGGTCTTCTAATCCAACCCCCTGCCCAAGGCACGAGTCCTCATACCACCTCGGACAAATGGTTGTCCAATCTTTTCTCGAAATACAGCTTATCTGTATTTACCCAGTCTCATTGTGTGAGTCAGGCATGTTTGAAGCAGGGACCTCTCACGCTACGTTGAAGTAGGGCTCTGCCAGGCTTGAGAATCGTTTCCAAAAAGGTCCTTTGGGGTTGGTGAGGGCGTTAATATAGCCCCTCTCTGCAGTTCTTTAAGGCAGCTCCATCTTTTCCTGCAATTGCACAGCAGCTGTAGAGGGGCAGCTGTGAGATGTGGGAAAAGTTAAGGCTGCTTAAAAGAGTGGTAGATGGGCCACAATCCCATTCCTGTCAGTTTCAAAGCAGCTTTTCCAAATTATTTCTGAAGCACCACAGAGCGCTACTAGGCAGACAGCAGATTTTAGGTTGAGATTTGCACAATTTGTGCTGGCTGTCAGCACTGAGCTCAATGTTAAACGGAGCACCTGCTGGGCTTTGCAAACGTTCTCATGAGTCAGGAGAAGGCTCCGTGACTCCTTTGGATGTCGTTCAACTAAAAATATATTCCGTCTCGGCAGAATTCTTGGAAAAGTCTTTCTCTTTTCATCTTCTGATGACAGTGACATCTAAGCCAGAAACCATGGATATGCTGGGTTATAATGCTTATCAATAAAATCAATACAAATAAAAACGTAGTGAATTATCCTAGAATTCTGCTATTCCTGTTAGCCCTTTTACAGAGTTTAACTTTTCAAGTTTGAGCGCTGTTATAACATGCAAAATGCTGTTCTTTAAACGGGATGTGTTTGGTTCCCAGGCTTTATGTGCGGCACATCTGTGCTGGACAAAGATGGCGTGAGCGCCGCTGTGGTCATAGCGGAAATGGCTGCCTGTCTGGAGATCAAGGGCCGAACGCTGGCCCATCAGCTAATAGAGATCTATAAAACGTAAGTCCTTTGCTTTCCCGGGGGCTCTGGATGCAAGAATTGCAAATAGCGGCAGAGGTAACTTTTTTCACTCCACAGCTGGAGCAGAGGTGCACACAGGTATGCTGTTGCTCTTTAGCACTTGTCACAGAGATTCTGCCTGGAGAAGATGCCCCTCTGGCAGCCTGGCACTCCATGGTCAGCTCCCTCAAGACAGTCCAGCTTGGAGGATCAGCAGCGGCTGCGGGGAACATCTGGGAACCAAGGGAGGGGAGCTTCCTTTGCAAGGGCCACTGCAGGCGGCTGTTGGTTGCCGACCTGTGGTCTGTCTGGGAGAAGACCTCAAGGGGTGCTGGTGGTGTAAAAGAACTGGCATCGGTCCCGGGATGGGATTCATGATGGGAAGAAGGCTAAGACAAAGGCCTTGTTGAAATGGATGTGGGAAATTGGTGCCTGTCTCCTTCCTGATATGGCTGCATTCCTCTCAGGGTTGCAGCCTTTAGCTTAATGGTGGTGGTCTTAGCACCCCTGCTCTAGGCAGCTCTAGTTTCCGAACAGGGGTGGTGCTTGGCCACCTCCTGGTTGTGCTACTGTAAATGGAAGGAAGCAAAAAGGGTAGAAGCCACATTGCCTGTGGAGTCCAGCACGGAGTGGGAGGGGCAACATTTCAGCCCTTTCTTTGCATTTGTTTGGAATTGGTGTTTAAAGGGGCCTAATGGGCCAGATTTATATAGAACCACATAATCCTGAAAGAACTCCGTTGGCTAAAGGCCCGGTTGGCTTGGGATCTGAATTCCAGAAAGGGCACTTCAGGGCTTCCTCTGCAGGAGGGATGCTATTTAGCACAAATCTGGGTGTCTGGAGGATGTTCTGGGCCAGGGGGACCTTCGCTCTGATCCCCTGTGGAAAGGACCTCCCCCAGCCCTTTTCCACAAGGGGTGCTGTCCTAGCTGAGAAACCACCTTTCTAGAGAAGTTTGGTGAAAATGGTTGAGCTTATACCCATCCATCTGAATTTCTTGCAAACTTTCCTGGATTTTATGCGTTATTTGATTAGCTGTGCTGCGTTCATTATTGGTGAACTCTTTCCTGCAAAGGCAAAGAAAAAAAGGAAGAAAAAGAAGCAGAGCTGTATAAAAATACCCCAAAGATATAAAGTAAACCTCTGAAAAGAGTAGACAATCTGCTTCCCTCGTGAGATCCTTGAGGGTTAGCCAAGAAGAAGGAGGTGAGGAAAGCCAATGAAAAATTCGGGCAACCTTGACGTTCTTCTTTCAATATGCAGTTATTCCTTGAGGTCCACAGAAAGGGACATAAAGAAACTCCAGCTTTTCATGCGATTGAAACCAACGTTTTATTTTAGCCAATTCTGTCCTGGCTTCTCATAGGTATGGCCACCACATTTCAAAAACCTCCTACTTCCTGTGTTATGATCCTCCTACTATCAAAAGGATATTTGAAAGGCTCCGGAACTTTGATTTGCCTGATTCTTACCCAGCCTCTTGTGGTACTTACAATATTCTCCATGTTCGGGATGTCACCACTGGCTACGACAGCAGCCAGCTGAAGAAGAAATCGGTAAGTCATTTGCATCTCTTGGCTCAGAGTGACCGAAACCGTAGGTTTGGATATTTCTGGAAGGTGAGGGTAGTTTCCTTCTCTAAAACAGGCTATTTTGCAGCCACTTGGTTTCCTCTTTACGGATGCTCCAGATAAGTGCCCTCCGTTTTATTGAAAGTATTGCAATTCGGAGGAATAAGCTCCAGATTTTGGCCTAAGCTTGTATCTGCTTTGAAATGCACAAGTCACCTATTAGCTTGCATGCAAAAATTACATCCAAGTCCCATATTTCTTTGGCAAAGACCAAAATTCCAGATTTATTCTGTTTCCACAGAAACTGATACCAGTTTCCTCAAATCAAAGTATACATTACTAGCTAGCATATAGCCTCTGTAGCTTCCTAGAATAGTATGTAATGTAGAGCAAGGTAACTAACTGAAACTTCCTTATTCCTCTGGCACTTTGAACACACAAAGCACCCTGCTGAAATGGAAACTCCCCCCCAAACTCATTTGGTTCAGATCCCAGGCATCTGTGCAGGCCAAGGTGGGATAAATCGCTTTTGGAGAGGGGTTGTGATTCTGTTGCTTTTCTTGTTGCTGCAGGTGTTGCCTGTGAGTAAAAGCAGCCAGATGATCACCTTCACGTTTCAAAACGGCTGTGTCGCCACGCTCCGGACAAGCGGAACTGAACCAAAGATCAAGTACTACGCCGAGATGTGTGCACCCCCAGGCCAGAGGTGGGGAAACTCTTTCCTGTTAAGCAAGCCTGATTCCTGGGTGGCTTTAGCCAAGGGGGGTGATGTAGAGGGCATAGGGAATGGCCTGGGAGGACAGGAGGAAGATCCACCACCAAGGCAGTGGTCAGATAAGAGGGGCTTGAGCCCCGGCTGAGAAAGTAACGTGAGTAAATGTCTCAGGCAGGCCCCTCCCTCGTTCACGGAAGATAAAGTGAGGGAGGGGGAAGCACATCCAGACTTGCAAGATGCTGTTCCTATAGGTGTTACGGTAAAAGGAGTCCTGGCCTCTATGGCCTTTGGTTTCATAGTCTGGTCTGCCGTGTAGGGCGATGGCCCTGACTCGTTTCTGACTTTGGAAAATCCTGTCTTCCTCCTTAGATGCACAGGGCAGCGTATGCTGCCTTTCTCCTCTCCAGCCTCCCAGTATCCCAACAACCGGGTTAATTGTTGAGGGGAGCCCCCTAATTTCTTTCTCCAGCAGACCGACTCTCGCTGACCATTCTTGCAATCAGTATCCACTGCAAGAGCCTCACGCTGGCCAGGGCCGAACCGCCCACGGCTCCAGTCGGCGGGCCTTTTGCTTAAATCACTCCTGGGTTTTCTCCTAAGACTGGGAAAAGCTTACAGGGCAGGTTAGCCCTGCTTCTGTAGAAACCTCCACTTGTTTCCTGAGCTCTTTGCACTCGCCCCACCGACAGAGCGTTCGCTTGCTGGCTTGATAGCCCAGGCCTTTGGGGGTGAGGAGCAGCGAGTCGGCTGCCTGTGATTCGGGGCTTTAGAACGGGCCTCGTGGTTTCGACGGGAACGCCTTTCTAATTCTGTCTTCCCTGCTCTTTAGTGATGTCGCCTCCTTGGAAGAGGACCTAACGAAACTCATTGAGGCCCTTGTGGAGCATTTTCTGGAGCCCAGCAAGAATGAACTGACCTGGCGCTCTGTGTAGCTGCCCCCTGGCCGTGGCGGTCGTTGACGTTATTCCTTGCACTGTGTCCTGCGGAACCAAGAGGAGGGCCCTTCCTCGCATTCATTTCATAGACGTCTGTGAGTGTTTGCTGCGTGAGATGTCTGTGTTCCCTAGCCAGCCTCCCCGCGTGGAAGCAGTAACCTTTTGTCAGCTTAGCACACCAAGCGGTAAACTGCTTTGGAGCTGGCCAGGGGTGCCTGCAAGAGAGACACAATCAACAGAAGGGACTCTGGCATCATTTCCTGCTGTTTTTTTTTTTCCCCCCCCATGGCAAAGATCAGCTGTCTCAGTTCTTGGCTATTCAGAGGCCCCTCCGGAGCTGGGAAACGGCAAAGAGTAATTGTGTTAAGTCTGAGAAAAGGTCCTGCTTCTTCATAGTTGGCTAGAGCATCGGTATATCTTTACTGGGCGATGGAGTCTTAATTTTAGCAGTCTTTTTGGTTTTCTAGCTCAGTCTGCGATATTCAGTAGTGGTAGGGATTCCAGCTGTTTAAATCTGCTTCTGTTCCGAAAGATCCGCTTTGCGTGTTGAATTTTTGTCTGAAGATTTTGCTTCCTGAAATTGACTGAGCCATTATCAGTCAAGACAGGTTAAATCAGTGTTTCTCAACCTTGGCCACTTGAAGATGTGTGGACTTCGACTCCCAGAATTCCCCAG